CAGTAAATTCTGCAGCAGACAGTGCTGCAAATTCTGTAGTAGACAGTTGGTTTTGTATGACATTTGTTGTCTCTATTTTTATTCAGCTGGTGTATGCTTGCTTGTACTTATGTTTTTCCCCTTATTCTAGCAATAGATACTAATGATGTGTTACTCATAGCCGCTTACTGGTCAGGTTTTAGAAACACTGATGTTAGAAACATGTGACCCTTACAATGGTCAACTAAATATTATATGAAGTTTGTTGAACACTGATCAAGTATAAAGTGATTGAAACTCTTGTTGGTTGTTGTCAGTACTGGATTTCATAGTTAGGGTATTTATTGCGTTGTTCTATTCGGAGAGTTTGACCAAGTATAGTAGCTGTTTATGTTTCAGGGTTCATTTGTTTGAGTGGCCTGCTGAAGTGATATGCCTGTTTGTTCTTATTTTTGTAGGAATAAAGCTACATGGAAGTATTTTACCCGGTAAATCTTGTGTTTATTGCCAATGGGATTCACAGATGGACAAGATTTTAAGTCGGGTGTTACTGGATCAAATAGTTCAAGGAAATAAGGGTGATGGAGACTGGAAGACGCAAGCATACCAAGCAGTTGTGGATCAACTTCGCACTGACTTGGAAATCAATGTGACTAGAGATAATACCAAGAACCGACTTCGAGCTTCGAAGAAACGCTATGCAGTGATAGCTGATGTTCAAAAGCGAAGCGGACGGAACTTGTGGGATGAAGATAAGAAGATGATCGTAGTTACAGCTGGTAATATGAGGATTGGCTATCTTACTGCAATGTAAGGTTCTTTTCCTCTTATGTTCTATTGTGATTTGTGACACGACTTTCATATATAGAGACGGGAGTTGGATAGTTGAAGCATAGGTTTCTTTTAATGGTTAGATTTAAGTAGAAGGAGAAGGAAATGGTACAAGGCAGGCATGGGTGTATTTTAGCTCTTTAAGATGAGAGCCCCAGCCTGAAAGTTTATTTATGAAGGTTCCTCCAGAATTTGTGTCCTGTGTAGTGGTTTCTTTGTATAGTGGTGTAGGTGGCTGGTAGTTTCCTTATGGTTGCTTTGCTTCTTTTAATCCATGAGTTCTATTTGTCCTTGGATGGCAATTTCAGATGTGTTTATAAGATGAGTATTAAAGGACGAACTAAACTAGTACTAGTTAAAAATAATGTCTTTGTGGGGTGGTAATAAAGGGTACCATTTGGAGAGAATTTTTAATGGTTTGTGTGGGGTTCAAAATAATGTCTTTGAGGTTGCTTTGTTTTTGTAGGATCACCTTGATGCACGTTCTTATGCGAACACATATATCGAGAATTGGGATGATTTAGTCTTGTTGTGTTCAAAAGATAGAGCTGTGGGAGATGGGGCAGAGCATTATTCAGAGGCTAATGCATCCATGGGTGATGAAGATGACATGGAGTCTAGTTTTGCCAACTCGAGTGCACATGGCTCAAAATCTCAAGTGAAGAAGCCTATTGGTGAAGTCAGTTCTGAATCGCGAAAGAGAGCTAAGAAGGACAATCAAGTTGGGATGCATTGTATATGGTAGCTAACTCATTAACTAGCTACTTGAAAAGTAAGAAGAAGGAAGAAGAACCAAAGTATACTGGGAAAGAGATCTATGAAGTGATATGCCAGATATCGGGGTTCACGCATATGGAGGTTGCCAAAGCTGTGATGAAGTATCGATGTGGTGATCCTAAGCAGTTTAAGTTAATGCTGGAAATTCCAAAGGAAGATAGAAGAATCTTTGTTGAGTGTTTTCTTGGTGAGCCTTAGTTGGGTTTCCTTTGTAAAGCCTGAAACTTTGAAGACCCACCTTTTTTATAGATGAATAATTGACATTTCTAGATCCATCTATTACTCACAGGCTATGTCTTGAATTTGGAAGGAGTATTATATGTAGCCAAGCTTTACTTTCTCAATAGTATCTCTAGTAGTTTTTTTTGTTTCATTGGCCATGTTTCATATGGAATTTTTCATTATGCAGTAGTCATTGGTGCCATTTTCCTCTGGTTCTCTCGTATGTGTAGCGTGACCAAAAGTGAACAGAATGAGTAGGTATGGAATTGCAAGGGGATAGTTGTCTTTCTATATATATAGTGAAGTGATTAAGGAGATCACTGTACGTATTAGTGCTATTAAAAAGCAAATTAAAAAATAATTAATTGAAATACCTAAAAGTTGCAACTATATATCCAAACGGTAGAATTTACATCTTTGGTATTTGAAATCATGTATTTGAAATACACATCTATCCAAACAATGGATTTTAAATCCTAAGTATTTGAAATGCATACATTTCAAATACTTGTAATTCAAATCGATATCTCTTGGTTGACTCAAATTTGCTTTAATGTAGATGTTGTTCGGGGGTTAACCGTTTGACTTCGAGAGCAAGTTGTCAATGTTCGTCTAGTCAAATCGATATCTCTTGGTTGACTCAAATTTGCATTGAAAATTAGAGATAAGAAGCGTTTGTGGAAAAGATAAAAAGGAACGGTTTAGTTGACCCAGTTTACTTAACTAAATAGTTAAAACTTACCGATTCGAATGTGTTTGACTAAGTTTGACCATATTCAATTTAAATATAGGCACAAGAACCCCCTTAGGAGGACTAGTTACGAGTTGGGTTTCGAGGTGGCTCGACCAATGATTATTATTGTTATTATAATTAATTATCATTTGAGCATTATTATAAAATAATTATTTTTATTAAAATATATTTATTATTATTATATATTGATTCTTATTTTTATTATTTTATGATAATACTTTATAAATGTAATAAATCTATATTATATTAATATAATTACTAACTTTTCAGTCTATTTGCACTCCCTACTTTTTCATCCAAACAACAATTTACCTCTCCACTTACACCTCCACCAAGTTGCACCCCCTAGCTTTTTCTGAATTGCTATTCGTCGCCCTAAAATTAAAAAAAAAAATCGCCCTAAACCACACTAAATTGACATATTTACCCCCTAAACAGAACTCTACCAAAAAATCCGTCAACCCCAAGGTACCCGACCCTCACATCTAGCAAAATAATGTCGCCGCCGTCACCGCTCTAGACTGCTCCCCGCCGCCGCCCAAGAACTGCTCCTGTCCGCCGTCCGATCCCCGCTACTATTCTTCCCATTGGTGTCGAGCAAAAGAAAAATGGAGGAAGGAGGATTTAGCAGTACATGATTAAATTCTTAAAGTGGGGTTCATCATCTCATGTTAATATATGATTATATTTCTTACGAGAAGCCTAACCTATACGACCAAGATTTATACAAGGAAGGGAAGGGAAGCAAATTTCATTGACGACGACGATTGGGCATCCGGTGAGGTTGGCAGAATCCGGCGAGAGTGGATGTGTGATTATTTTAGGATTTAAGTGTTTGAAAGAAAAAAAAATTAAGGGCATAACTGTAAAATTATCTTAATTAGGGCGACGAATAAGAATATTTAGGGCGACGAATAGCAATCCCCAGCTTTTTACCCCTCAACTTGCCCACTCGAACTTGCACACCCCCCCCTCCCCCCCCCCCCCCCCCCCCCCCCCCCCCTCTTATTGCTAAAGAGAGCATTCCTATGTATAACCTTATGGTGAGTAACCATGCATAAGCCAATCACAATCCGCCACATCAGCTCCCTTTTTCTCTCTTGGATAGCCTTTAAATTTTTTCCTTTAATTTTTAACGGATGATTTCTCACTCGTTTTAAGTGAGAATTTATTTTTTTTACCCAATTAGATCATATTAATTGTGCTCTTCAAAATGATATCTACTTTGATATATTTTTTAAACAAAAAAATTGAGTCATTTTTACCGGTATATACCATATGGTATTGACTTGTATTAAATAAGAGCATATCATATGGTATGAAAAAGATTACCATGGTGGTATGAACATACCAAGAGTGTAGGATGATTGAATACATGATAGTAGGAGTATACTAGCTGTCATTTACGACTTTGAACATTGTGTACCACAAGATACCACCCGTACCAGGTGGTACTGGGTGGTACTTTTTGGTCCTGTATTTTGTTCACCCAAAAATTTATAGATCCAATAGATCATGATAAACTCGTTCCTTCTGTGCAAAATTTTTCAAAAAAAACTTAAAAACGAAGAAGGTACCATATGATATGCAGTTGGTAACGAGAGGCAATAAACTTTTTTTCTAAAAAATATTGAAAATGGATCTCATTTTGTAGAGCACAACGAACTCGTTCCATCTTTGCAAAAAAAAAAAAATTTAAATCCAAATTAAAATGAAGAAGATATGAGTTTATTAAGAAAACAAGGGAAAATAAAATGTTTTTAATTTTTCACCTTTAAATTTGGATTTTCTAAGCCCACTTAAATCTGATTGCAGAGATTTATTTACTCATAGTGAGTAACCATGGTTTTACTAAGGGGAACTTGAGCCATTCTGAAAAGAGTTATTTCTTGTCTTGACGAGGAAGATGAGACGAGGTGGAGATTAAAAATAATTATTTTACTTATTTTAATTTTTAATCAAAACTTGGCTAGCTTGAGGTACAAAATGAGATTGTTGACTATCACATAGGGAGTTTAACAAAACCATTTAAAGGGTAACCGACAGTGAAACTCAAAACTAATTAATGCAATAAAATCGTTGCATTGAAGGATGTTTTGCAAGGCGTTACCGATATCCCCTCTCATGTTTGTGTGAAGGATCTTTTACATCTCGAGCAAAGAACCTTAGTTTATGCAACCCCATCGAAACCACAGCCTGATTACATTTATGCAATACAAATTAGCTAGTCCTACAATTCGATCTCTTGAGCGAAATGTTTTACAAGAAATTGAAGACATAACATTACATATAGAAAGATGTCAAACTAGAAACTTTCTACATTACACTCAAAACTATGGTATACAGAGATGGGGCGCCCCTTGAATATAATCTCCATCCCTAGCTAGCTAGCTAAAAACACGTAGACAGACAAACACAACGCATACACAAAATCCAGCTAGACCTGTAGAGGTTTTTCTTGCATTTCTCGCCTCAACGAGTAGGCACCGTCAATGGCGTCCTCGATGCTCAAGAAGAAGAAGCCCTTTCCGACCTTCTCCACGAACTTTGACTTCAGCATCTTCTCCATAACCCCCACCCTAGGGTTCACAAATGCCATCTGAGAAAAAGGGCAAAAGAAATGATCAGCAAACCATGCACATGCATGAGAGTTCCACCATATCCATTTGGTTGCGAATCGATATCATTAAATACGTGCTTACCCCTATTTTTCTCGATTGTAACATCCTTCTAGTCTCTAACAATGTCTCGAGTCCTGTCATGTCGATCGACGTGACACCTACAAATAGAATATCATATTGTTAACTATAATTTATATTGAGCTTAACCTAATTTTCCCAGTTATGAATATGAATAAAACGTAAAAACATATATCGTCGTAAATGTTATCGCGTTCTCACCCGAAAGTTCCAGTATAACGAACTCGACAGTATCCCCTTTATTATCAGGGTTCTCGTCCTCATCTTGAATCCACCTCAGAACCCTGCAAATAATATAATTCAAGGATAGGAACATGAATATACAAGCTCTTCAAATTTGTTTCGAACTAAGGGGAAAATGGAATTAAACTATTGATTAATTGTTATGACCTTTCTCTAATGTAGTTTGCATTAGCATAGTAAATGGGCGAACCAAGTTGCAAGGCGAGCAACCCTGGCGCCCTGGTGCCATCTGGATACTGCTCCATGTCACGGTACAACGTGGTTCCAGGCATCTTCCCTAGCTTGCAAGTTGCTGGTCTTGCCACGTACAGAAGCGCTCTCAACAATGCCAGCCCAATCTGAAGAGAGAGAGAGAAAAACAAAGTTTTGTTAGTGTCATTATTGAACTCGAGCTGTTGTGAAACGTTCGTTTTTTTTATGTACCGATAGCATGAGGCCGTAGTCCATGGAGAGGAAGGTGACGCCGAGGAAGCCAGCCATACAGATTAGGAAGTCGAATTTGTCGACCTTGAAGAGGTGGTGCATTTCTTCGTAATCGATGAGGCCGAGCATCGCGGACATTATAATGGCGGCTAGGGCAACCAGAGGTGTGTACTTGAAGACGGGAGCGAGGAACAAGAGGGTGAACATCATGCATATCGCCATTACAATGTTGGAGAGTGCACTCTTGCAGCCGGCGTTGAAGTTCACGGCAGTTTTTGAGAACGGGCCTTTTAAGAAAAGAGAGTGACATCTAAGTTAAGTTCGGGTACTGTTTTGTAATAATAACCGGTGAGGGGGTGTGCAATGGTTTTGTCTCGTGTGGACCAGACCAAACGGTGTCTAAACCAGATCACAGCTATATCGATTGTAATGTGATCTAGTCATTCATCTCGTGAATTTTATAAATATTGAAGAACAAAAAGACCAAATGGATAATTAGATCGGACCTAACCGGATCTTTACTTTTAAGCTTTCTTTTACTATTGGACTGGGATTCTCGTGATTTGGTCCTGTCCATATTCAATCGTGATTCCTAAAAAAAATAAATACACCGAACTGATATTTTGACCGGGCCAAACCAGGGGAAATGCAATGATAGTCCGGTCTTTAATCCTGAGATTTATTTTATAAATGGATAGTGGTTCTCATGATATGGTCCGGTCTATACTTGACCCTTGCACATCCAAAGGTGGAATGGAAAAAGTACCATTTCAACTTCTCAATTTTCGTTTAGACCCCTAACTTAATTTACTTTTACATATATACTATTGGGATCCCCTAATGTCATAGTGCCGAACAAACTAGAGCATATATAGATAGAGGGGCGTTATGAAAAGTTCAGAAATCGAGGGTCAACCTGAAAAAAATGTAAGTTTAGTAGCTCAATTGGATAATAGTTAAAAGTTAAAGTACCGGTGGTCAAGTAGCAGGAGAAGAAAGATCCAATGATGTTCATCAGGCCAAAAGCTACCATCTCCTTGTTGCCGTCGATTTGGTCGTTCTTCAATATGGCAAAGCTTCTTCCTATTGCTATTCCTTCCTGAAATTTTAATTTAAATTTTTGGACATATCCAAAGAAATATGGATGATTAAAAGGGATTCATAAAGAAAAATGGATGATCAAAATGGAAATTGTGCTAGAAGATAGGTTCTTTGTTCTTACAGTCATAGCAATCGCGCCAGCAATGAGACCTGCTTTTATGGTGGCAGATAGGTACTGTGAGTTGAAGTTCAGGTGATGGATGGAGACGGGGTTTAAACCCTTTTTGAGCTCTCCCACCTGGCACGATACGAAACGTGTTTATGTCGTTGGATTGAATTAGTATATTTTTTACGCGCTTCACGTTAATATTGTAGTGCAATTGATCAGGTTGTTGATTAAACTCGATTTACTGATAGAGCTAATTAATTTGAATGATGATATGATTGCATCAATTTTTATTGGTGGATTTAGACTGCGGTGACTTACAATTTGGATGCCATGCTTTTCAGCATCCAGAAAATAGGCAAAAATGCAGCCTATGATAACCACCAACATAGGAGCAATGGCCGATACCCAAAACAGCTTTGGCTTCTTTTTCCTCTGCATGCAAGCGAAGTGATTAATTAATTATGATTCGAGAGGCATGGATAAAATTGGATTAGTTTGATAATAATGAGACTAATCTTGAGTAGTAATACAAAAAGAGTACTTTAATTACAAACTTAGACTAATAATGAGGATCAATAATCATATATTAGGATGGTGAAACCGTATATCTTACAATGAAACGAGTGAGTTGCAAGAAAGCAAGGAAAACCACGCCCACTACTACGCTTTGCCATCTCATCTGCACCCAAAATTCATTAGAACAATGAGATCATAAAAAAAAAATTATATCCGAAAAGCTAGCTAATTAACAATCCTATGCAATCGCCGCTACAATATTATTTTAAATTGTTACAAAGTAATACAGGATGACTACTACTAAGACTCAAACCCTACAACCTCCTAAATCCAAATTAAGCTTGTACAAATTCCACCTACAGGCGGTGGTAAAAAAAAAATTAATTTCCTTACTTACTTTTGGGTTATGAATAATCTATTTTCCTTTCTTTTCTCACCCTAGTAAGTCCATTGAATCATAATCATTCTTCCACCACTAGCTTGCCCATACCTTCTTCATACTCTTGGGAGAGATTTTCTAAGATCCACTCAATTATAACAGAATTTTCTCAAAGATTTATCAGTTTCATTTTAATTCCTATATATAGAAAAACTCCAACTACTATATATGCCAAAAGGGTATTTTTAGCTGCCAATACTTTCTCTTAAAAATCTTGTCATTAATTAATTACGACCCATAATTTCGTTTTTTACAAAAAAAAAAAAAAAGGCTCATCGACAAAATGGCTTTAGTCAGTTTCCTTTCTTTTTCATACAAATATGTGCATGAAAAGCGATAATTAACTTGCATATCCCCTTTCTTTAATGGAATATTCATTAATTATCTCAATTTTCCGATACCGGTAAGGAATTCCTATAAATCAGCAGTAGTTTGAAAGAAGATGACGGGAAGATAGCTTTAGATGTAAATTTTCGTCGCTAAAAACTGTGTATTGTTATAATATTATTATACCTCGCTTCTGTTTTTGAAAATGGCTTTGAAAACATGCACGACGTCGGTGTGGGTCGTGAAATGCTTCAGCCCGAAGATGGACTTCAGCTGTTGCAGGCAAATGATCGTCGCCGTCCCCGACATGAACCCGGTGATCGTCGAGTGCGACAGGAAATCCACCAGAATCCCCAGTCTGTGTCGTCATTAAAACATCACCACTTTAGCAACGAAAAAAAAACATCAAGGACGTCACATTTTACTAACGGGAATACAATTGGTTGCTAATTAATTAATTAATTACCTTAGAACGCCTAACAGGAACTGAAACACTCCGGTGAGGAAGCAGGCCGTGAAAACCAAATGAAGGTACAGCGTAGGGTTCTCCGTCGCCGACACCTCCGCCCCGATCGTGTTCGCCATTATCATCGACGCCGACGCCACCGTCCCCACCGCCAGATGCTTCGAGCTCCCGAACACCGCGTACACTAGCGGCGGCACAAAGCTCGTGTCTGCACCAAAATCAATTGACACACCATTATTTTCGTCGTAACAAAAAAAAAAAAAAAGACTTCTCAACAGGTCATCCATCTTAGTACTACTATACTACGTTTGAATCAAAGACACAATAGCATTGTTATGATCCCACACTCAATTTTTGTCATAAAAAAAACATGATCTTAATTTCCAATCCCATTGTCTAATTATTTTCATCATCAAGACATTTCAACAGGTCATATATCTTAATAGGGATAAAAATAGAATTTGACACATTATGATCTGACACACATTTTTACACCAAAATTTACCAATCGATATTGCAAAAATTTCGAATTCTCTGATGAAGAAATGAATTTTTACGTAGGAACATCTACCGCGCTCTAGATTGAGGACTAACGAAAAGAATTCGATTTACGTACAGAGGCCGACGATGGGAGGGATGTTGGCGAGCTTGGCGTAGCTGATGCCCTGAGGGATGGCGAGGCTGGTGATGGTGATTCCGGCGAGGATGTCGTATTGGAGCAGCCGGATGTCGTATTTGGGGAGCCACTCGAAGATCGGGACGAAGTAATCGAGCGTGGCCTTGAACCGGGCCACGGGCGTGTGCCGGTTCCGGATTGTGCGGAACGGGTCGTCAGGAAAGAGTGTCTCCTTGCAGTGGGATCCGAATTTCGACCCGAAACTCCTCGGGTCGGCGTAGCTCACCTCATGACCCGTACCCATATTATTTTGTTTTTTGTCTCTACGAGACAGAAAGAAGAGAGTGAGAAGCTAAAAGGGTTTTGTTTTCTCTGCTGCTGAAGAGGGGGAATGAGAAGGAGAAGAAATGGAAGAGTGTTTATATAGAGGAAGAAGAAGAAGAAAGTGGATAAAAGGCTAAAAAACTGACCTTTAAAACCCACTAGCTGCACCCCTTTTAGTTTGTTTTAACTTTTTGGGATTTTGGATTTGACAATGGATGATTTAGAGGTTGGACCAAAATTTGGAGTTGTTTTTGTGGTTAATTAGGATGAGATTAAGGGGAAAGGAAAGACTAAAAGATAAGGATGGATTTACTTTAGTTAATAGTAATATATGGGTCTAATTGGATTCTACTGATTTGCTTACTTGATTATGATGCTTTTCCTACTATTAACAGGGAGATAATTACTGTGTGGCTTGTCCGAGTCACTAGAGCTTTCTACCCCACTAATTTTTTTTTTTACCACATGGATTACTCTCACTGTGTTTACTCGGTAAAAGTTTTTTTTTTCTTCGACTTTTTGTTTTCTGCTTTTTTTCTTTGTGACTAAAACCTTTTGTAAGTAAATGATTCACCTACTGAACAATGCATGTACAAAAAAAAAACCATAAAAAAATGCATGTACAAAAAAGTTAATTAGTACCACGATTTAATGAAATTAATTAAGAAATTGTTTGATAATTATCAATACTTACTTTTCGATATTATATTTTTCAATATGTCATAAGTGGTACCAATATTCAAGAAGTGTAGTAATAATATTTGAGCCATTTCATTCCCACTCTTAAAATAAATCACATACTAAACATGTATAAAAGTCGGTACATAATTTAATGAAAATTAAATAATTTACTGTATGATAATTATTAATATTTACCTTTGTATAGATAGTTTTCAATATGTCATAAGTGTTGCCAGAATTAAAAAAAAAGTCATGATGATAATATCGCATCAATAAGGGTTAAACATGTCCATGTACTTTGTAAAAATGATCAAACATGTCCTTTTGTTAAAATTTTCATCCAAAAACCATTAACCAAGGCCAAACTTTGGTTTGGGCAACACAAATATCTAAAAATATCCCTAATAATTTCACTTTAGAATTTATTTTGGTTCTTTTGTATAGCCAAATAACTCAAATCATTTAACTTTGAAGAGATCTAGAGGAATAAAACGGGGGACAAAACTATCATTTTCCCTCCCATTTGCAGATGTCGGGTCGTCTAAATATCGTTTCAACCATGATTGACGATTTTTTCAATCAAAATTTTAACAAAAGGACATGTTTGATCATTTTTTCGAAGTACAGCGGCATGTTTGATGTAAAAAATAGTAGAAGGGCATATTTGATATAACGTCATAGTAGATGGCCATATTATACTTATAACCCATAAATAAAACAACTTTGTTGCACAAGCTCCAAAGTATTATATGTTCTATTCTTAAGAATGTTTTTTGGTTTTTTTTTTTTTTGCCAAAAGATATCATATATTGATCGAAAAAATAGACAGTTACATCCTGGAAATCAGCCAGGTCTGGAAATCAAAGAAGCGACTCATAGTCGGATACAAAGAGAGGGCTTTCCTAGCTACCAAATGAGCTACCCTATTGTTTTCCCGACCTACAAAACGCACACTAAAGCCAGGCTGAGTACGCAAATAATGAGCAACCTCTTCCAGAACAGCGCCCAACCGGCTATCTCTCATGTCGGCTTGATTAAGTTTGTCAATAATCACCTTTGCATCACCCTCAAAACGGACCTCCGACAAACCTTGCTCGATACACCACATAATAGCATCCCTCAGAACAAGCAACTCTACCACTCCCAGGGGCGGACCCATGTGGTAGATAGGTAAGTCAAGCGACACACCTCCGCACAAATATTTTGTGAGAGATCCATGTTTTGTCGGTATAATTGTTTGGAATTTAGGACTTTCGACACACCTTGAATAATTGTTATCGACACACCTTTAATATACTACGATGAAATTAGTGTCATAAAGTTCCCAAAATCCATAAATATATGTTATTTATTTTAAATTTTAGTTAACTTATGACAAATTTGGGGTTCTTTCCATTGCTTAAGCATTTAGATGCAAGGGTTTATTGCTCTTAGGTCTTAGGCATGGGTAATCGTAAGGAAGTTTTCTCTTTTTTCTCTCTACCTGAATAAGTTTTGTTTCTTCTTGATCCTTGTAGGTTTCACATAGTTGTCCACCTAGTGACAAAAAATGCTCTTTCATCGCGAGTGTGGTTGCACATGGACTACTATCTTATAAAAAAACTCCAATGTTCCCTTTGCCTCTTTCGATCCCACTTCTCGTTGTGTTACACAGTAAAATATAATTAAAATTTATTTATTATTTTATTTAATTTTGTCGACTGACACACTTTTACGAGAATCCTGGGTCCGCCACTGACCACTCCAGGATCATCCATTTGAGCAAACTGAACCCCTCTAGCCAGAAGGAGTGTCCGCGCTGGGTCAAAAAGAACCATCCCACCAGCCGAATGTGACCCACCCTTAGTAGCTCCATCCCACATACAAACCAAATGAGAATCGCCCACTTGTGATGTAGATTGTACTAACGGGATCGACGTCCTCGGTACCTGGTCCGCTGGTAGGTCCGTCCATTCCTCATACTTTCTCACAAGCCCTTATTGTAAAAATTTCTAGCGTGACTTATATTTTTGGAATAGACTTTGGTATGATAAAAATTGAGACAAAAGCATCGGTTTAAATAAAATCACACTTGTTGTTTTGGTTTGAAGTCAGATTATATATTGTCAACTGAAAGTTAATCCCTCTATAATTTGTATCTCATCATGCATAATGGAACTGATATCTCATATACCTGTATCTGCTAACATAAACCATATTATTGAACCACATAAATCTGCTTTTCATTTACTTTCTTGCATTGTCAATTACCTTAATTGTTATAGCACCTCTGAATCTTTTGTAACCCTGTTAAAATCTGACCTTGGGTGCTGGCTTGTGTTGCCCCTAACTACCTTGAGAGGCCAAGTTTAATCAGCTAAGAAATTATTAATCACAAAAGCTCAGTTCAAAACAAACAATAGACAAGCTCCTAAAATGGCAAAAAGGGCAATACGATCAGTTGAACCCTTTGCATCTATACTATCTCTCTCCAAATCGGGTCGGTCCCGCGCACCTCAACGGCCCGACTGGTTAATTTATGCAACACTTATTTGAAAGTGGAGACGAAGTTAGGTGGCGATATTGGCAGCTTTTCTTCCCCCGAAAACGGAAAAAAAGGGTGAGCTCGAAATGATGAGTGGAGGAGACGACTGAAAACGTGGTTTTCTTCCCACTTCGCCATATAACGCCTTCCCCAGAGGTAAGCAAACGAATGTGATTTTACTTCATCTTTCTAGCTAGCCAACTAGCACACTTCCATCATGGTCATGGATGAGTTTGAAACGCAAGTTCTCTTACATTCAAGGACGGCGTCAGAAATTTAAATAATTCAGTTAGAAAATGTAAATTTAAAAAGAGGAGTTAAAACATTACTGATCGGTCTATTTTTTTTTTAATCTATTCCCAGTTTTACATGTGTATAACCTTCACTTACCTTCAACTTAACTCCGCTACTGCCTATACCCTAATCATAGATTTAGACTTTGTTCGCATGATCATTTGAATTTTTGTTTATTTGGCTTTGGGTTGGAAATCACGGGAATCGCACTAGGATCCAATTACGCGTGGGCTTTTACACCTACGTTTTCTATTAAATGTATGTTTTAACCTTTTTCGGGTATGTATATGTAAAAAACCTTCTTACCCTTTTATAATACACACTATTTTTAATATAATGAAACCCGTTTCTCCTGTTCGTCGACTAGGCAAGACATATGCATTAATGAACCAAATATGTATATTGATTTACTTCTTCCTTTGTCAATTTTCTGCTCCGTTGCCACATGGTTACTCTTTTGTGTGATTCTGACACTCAAGAGTGAAGTTGGGATTTCGTTTGCTTGTGGAATTTAGGTGATGCATTTGTCACTCAAATACAAAGCATTATCTATTTGATAAAAAAAATTATTTATTGAGGTATATAAATATATGGGTTTCACAGATTTGAACCTATTTTTTAGCTCCAAATTCGTGGACTCAATGTATTTGCAAATACCACATTTCATTTGGTATTTGATCATGGAAGGCAAGGATTTAAGACCCATGGTACAAAAATCTTTAAATCCATGATCAAAATCAAATAAACAAACAATATTATCTTTCAAATACAAAATGAAACAAAGTCATCATAAATCCAATGACTTTTAAAACTAAAAACCTTCATTTTCAAATCCAACAAGCAAACGAGCACTTGAGTGTTTTATACTGTGGTAATATTATGACGGGAGAAAATGAATTTTCTCGTAGTTTGATGTGAACTAATATCTTGCCACCTTCTCATTTTCTCGTATATTTTCAAAATATACGAATAGAAACAATAATTTTAGAAAAAATATTTCTCACTAAGCTACACGATACCTCTAAAATGCTAGACAAGCGTTCACTCGAACTCACCAATGCCCAATGGGCAGCGCTCAATGGTTTCTTTTGTGTGCTGGTTCTTTGTCACTTCCCACGAGCGTGATTATTGGAAAGTTTAAATGAATAATGACATTACTTAACCGATGCATCAATAATTCTGTTGAGTTTCCCTACCTCCTTCCTATTTTCTGAATTATTAACTCAATAATTCCCTCGAGTTAATGATGTTCGTTTGGGCCAAACGAAAAAGTTTGCAATAATTTCTCCTTAATTAAGTCAGGAAAAGCCAAAGAGAGGCTAATGTAGTCATGTGTATTGTGTAATAACTAATAAATTAATGGTAGTGCGCAATTATTCCCTCCCGCGAAATATTGTTGATGTCTATAACTCATTTCATGAACTCGGGGGTGGATTTGAAAAAACTGGATTTGGAGTATGGATTTATAAAATTCTTATATTTAGCCGAATTAAATTTATCTTTTTCTGTTTTCACTTTTTTTATTCTAGATTTTAGGTTTAGAAAATTACATCTATAAAATATAATAATATCAAATTTTTCATACATAAAATTGTGGGACCGGTTACTATAACAACACCCATTGTGTTGTTATTGTAACAACACTAGTCCCCAACCAATAGGAAGCTAGGGATGTGATGACTTTTTATTAGTTGAGTTGACCTAGTGTAAAATCAAAACAAGGGTATAATTGTCATTATGAAAAATATGTTTAAATAATAAAAAAATAAAAAAAATATTTTTTTATTTTCTGCCCAAAAATGTGGTCGCCGGAATTCTGCCACCGGTCGCCGGAAAATGATCGCCGGTCACCGGAATATGCTTTTTGTCGCCGGAATATACTATTTTGTGGCCGGAATATGCTTACCGGCGTCGGAATATGCTTACCGGCGTCGGAATCTACTCACCGGGGCCGGAATATGCCTATCGGCGTCGGAATCTGCTCACTGACGGTCACCGGAGTTCGGTCAACGGTCTTCGTTGACCGGTCAACGACCACCGGATTTATGGTCTACATTGTGAGATTTATGGTTTGGTTTCTCATATTTTCGTATGCCTTTTGTGGTTTGCTTTATCGTGTTTGTGGTTTGCATTAAGAAGTTTCTGGTTTGCTTTATCGTGTTTGTGGTTTGCATTGAGAAGTTTCTGGTTTGCTTTCAAAAAATTTGTGGTTTGCTTTGCGGGGTTTCTGGTTTGTTTTAATAGATTTTTGGTCTGCATTAGGACGTTTCTGGTTTGTTTTTGTGATTTGCTTTATCGTGTTTGTGGTTTGCATTATGAGGTTTCTGGTGTGTTTTTTAAAATTCTGTGGTTTGCTTTGCGGGATTTCTGGTTTGTTTTAGTAGATTTTTGGTCTGCATTAGGACGTTTCTGGTTTGTTTTTTTGGTTTGCTTTAACGTGTTTGTGGTTTGCATTATGAGGTTTCTAGTGTGTTTTTTAAAATTTTGTGGTTTGCATTGAGAAGTTTCTGGTTTGCTTTCAAAAATTTTGTGGTTTGTTTTGCGGGGTTTCTGGTTTGTTTTGATAGATTTTTGGTCTGCATTAGGACGTTTCTGGTTTGTTTTTGTGATTTGCTTTATCGTGTTTGTGGTTTGCATTATGAGGTTTCTGGTGTGTTTTTTAAAATTTTGTGGTTTGCTTTGCGGGATTTCTGATTTGTTTTAGTAGATTTTTGGTCTGCATTAGGACGTTTCTGGTTTGTTTTTTTGGTTTGCTTTAACATGTTTGTGGTTTGCATTATGAGGTTTTAAAGTGTGTTTTTTAAAATTTTGTGGTTTGTTTTGTGAGGTCTCTGGTTTGTTTTAATAGATTTTTTATTTGCATTAGGATGTTTCTGGTTTGTTTTTGTGGTTTGCTTCAAGAGTCCGACCACTACACATCTCTCCTATGGAGAAAGGGTTCTGCATCATGTTTTTGTGGCTTGCTGAATAATGTGAACAGCTTCACCATCATTTTGCCCGTCTCCACCTCAGCAAACTCCGATTCTACTTTCCCCACTTCCTGCACGAGATTTCTTAGATAATTGAATTGAATCGAAATAAAAACACATATGCTTCAATTTGCTAATCAAGAATGAATCAAACAATAAGTTCGATAGTCTGATTCAAAACTGTACCGCAGAACGCACCTGAAACCTGCAGAAGTAGAATTCATGGCTGTAGACAGCTCGAAAGGCGTCGACGAGGTTAAGCGCAGGGGACTGGCGAGTTGGCGGGACGCTGAGGTTGACCACGGCGGTGACCGATCGGGTCGGAACCTGCAAAAGTACCAGGCCATGGCGGCTCCCCAATCGTGCCCGACCAAGAAGACCTTGTCGATCTTGAGGGCGTCGAGGAGGCCGACGAGGTCGCCGACGATGTGGAAGGCGGTGTACTTGGCCGGAGATGAGGGTGCGCCGGAACATAGAAGGAATAGAGGATTTGCGATGCCGACGGTGGAAGAAAGAAGGAACAGCGGGAGATGGGGAGGAACATAAGAAATTGAATACGAGGAGCGGACTAGATAGGGTTTGGAAATTGAATACGAGGAGAAGAGTTGTGGCGGCTCCAGTGGACTTCATGGGTGACGGGTAGAGAGCTATGCCGAGTACTGCTCCGTACGTACTGATTAGTAGCGACGGCGGCGGTGATTGTGGAGGTGGGAAAGAGACGATGATTGAGAACGCCGGCCGGATCTAAAATATGGAGAAACAGGGAGAAGAAAACGTCGGCTGAAAGCGATAGAGGGAGGTGGAATTTTATATTTATATTTATTTTTGTGTAACTTTACTCTTTTATCCTTAATGAATTATGATGTTACTATAACAACACTAATAGTGTTGTTATACTATCTGCATCCTAAAATTGTATAGAGGATTTTTTTCAGCTTTATCTCCCTCTCTTTTTTATTTATTTATTATCTAGCCAAAGTTAAGGATAAACGTTATAGTTGGTACAAAGTTAGATTCTATATTTTTCATTAAATGTTTCCAACAATCACAATTATCAAACATATAATCTCTTTTTTCACAATTTGGAAAGTTATAATTTTCAATTTTTAAGAGTTTGCTATTCGTCGCCGTAAGTTAAAACGTATTTTTGAGATGATGAAGTAGAAAGGACAAACATACAATTTTATTGTAAATTATGGCAAGTAAAAAGGGATACAGTATTCATAAAAAAAAAAAGATACCGTGACAATGTAACATTTTATCATTATTTTAACTTTTTTGCAGAGAGAAGAGGAGCATGAAATTTGATGCATTGATTGCTTATAAGGATTAATTTTTTTAATCTTTTACTTTAATTCATGAATTCACCTTTCCCCTTGAAAAAAATAAATAAAACATTGCAAAATTAATTTGTTTCTAGTTCAACATTAATGAATTTACGGTACAAATTCCATTAAAGTTACCGTTCTCGCTGCTGAACTCACATTATTCTCCACACCAGTTCCCCTTCCATTTCCTTTTGCCAAACGAGTAATGCTGGTTGGCGTTCATAGTATCGAAATCTTTGCAACAAATGAAAGATACGGGGCCAAAAAATTAAGCGAGTAATGGAAATAAAATATAAGTTCCTTTTAAAACAAAAAAAAATTGGTTCTATAAAATGTCAAATGAATTTTACATGTGTTTTGAAGTGTAGTTGAAATGATTGCTGACTGTCGATAAGCAGAAGTCAAACTTCTAAGTCTAACGAAAACTAGCGTACATTTCTCCTTTTAACAAAGAGGACATTGAACTTGGAAGCCTAGCTAGCCTGTTGAATGAAATGCATTTGATCAGATCAGGATTCATAAGAAATTATTTTGTCATTTGCAATTGGAAACACGTGTCCTCCACAAATCCCCCTCTTTTTTGACGGCCTTGTCCTCCATAAATCCTTGGATAGCACATAATCTTTGATTCTCTGATCACCATTTCCATAATTAACCAGTTAACCACCCACTAACTTTGTATTGTTCATGCATCAACCCTGGAGCCGACCTTGTGGAACATGATCGCACTTACTTAGAAGGCGCGGGAAGCCGGCCGGGCTGGTAATGGATTGGAAATGCTAGTGGGGGAAGATGGTTTTGTGGGTTTTCTCTGCTTTTAATTGTTGGTCTAACGGAGAAGTTTCCGGTTAATGGGATTGGGGTTAAGGGATCAACTTTCAGAGCACTAATTTTCTGTTTGTGGTGGTCGCTCAGGTTAGTAACAAAGTCGTAAATGCATTGGATTCATGAGATTTGATTAAATGAATTTAATTGGTTATGTTGTATAATATTCGTTATTGAACATCTCCCAACCATTCGAATTATTGAGATCAACTGATTTTTGACATGACATCAGAGCCTCCAGTAATCGAGAGGTCTTGGTAAGCTTATGGTGTTTGATGAGTGAATGTGCAAACTTCAACCCTACATATTATTGACTTTGGTTAATGGATACTAGTGACATCTAAATCATGAATTATTTTGAAAATTTTAGATACTAAAATATCATCATATAAAAATTTATATACCAAAGTGTAATTTTAATGAAATTTTTAAAAAGTTTTACACTAAGGTATCAAATTATATAAAAAAAATATTTTTTGAAAATTCCGAATCCATAAATCCACTAATCCCATTAAATTATATTTAATGGATAAAATTAGTTTGACTTTTTAATGGTGAATTAGAATCTTGAATTTGTTTCAAATTGTCGCCTCTAGTAATTAACAGCGTAGATAGAATTTTTGCAAATTTGTAGATTTTCAACTTGGTATCTTGGTTTACTCATTGAGGTGAAAAGGAAATTCGCCAACCATTTCAGAAATGTCTTCTCTTGCACCCTACAACATCAGTCGAAAGGCAAATTTTCTGTCTTGAGGGGCCAAAATCACGTTATTGAAAAATGTTTTTGTCTTGCTTACCAATATACCATGTGTTTAGGTTGAGAGGCTGTACATCAGTTATCCATTGCATCAAAAGATTAATGAGCAATCATTTTTTTTATAGTTGGGATTGGAATATGGTGGGACACTGTGAAAGCCCCAGGTTGGATGTACCACTTGGGGTAAGTGATGTTTCTCCAGGTGACACTTCAACCGCAATGGATTTTCGAACATGTATTATAAGAATTGGAGTAATTGGATGGAAAGGGCCTCTAAACGACTTCAAAAATTTTCTCATATTTTGGATTATTTTTTCACCACTATATCATGTATCGTATCAACATTGGGGTTATTGTCGTGGACATTTCAGTTGCAAGAAAGAAGCAATACCGTTAGTGTTCACTATCATTCTAATTTTCTATTATCACTCATCTTGCTCTTCATGGGTATTTCTTGTCTAAATTTTCAAGAATCCATTATCATGGGCGATTAGAGACTAACATTGTGCGACTTCAGTCATTCCACTAAAAGGGCACGCCAAGAAATTGTTGAATTCATCCATTAGGAACCTTACCAAATTTTGTTAAGGAAAACTTCCCTCCTTGGAAAACTGATGGAATAAAAGAGGACATCTTGAGATTCCAATTTTTTAAAGTTAGCAAACTCTATCTGATTAGATGCATATTAATGTTACGCCATTATGCATATTTAAGAAATTAGCTCTAGGTAGTGTAGGGACAATGGGTGGGATTGGATGAGTTTCCATTACAAATTGACATACCCGATTACTAACATGTTGGTACAATTTCAACCCTCCACTATGTTAAAATCAGAACAACAAGGAACAGGGTTACCGAATTTGGAGCCGATTCGCGGACTACATTACTTTCTTTAAAACGTTCTTGGCACTGCCTTTGTTGCGCACGGAAGACTATCAACCGGTCGTCTCCATGATAAAACAACTCCTTTTGTGCTCGGCGGTTTTGTGCAAAAACAGGAGCTCTATGAACACACACTCTCTCTCTTGTGTTTCTATTCGATTGTGGTGTGTTTAGAGGGGTTGGGGAGATGGCTATTTGTAGTAGCCGAGAACCCTAAGAATATACCCTCTTACTTGGGGAATAAGTCGGATATATTAGAAAGATAATTACTTCCTTAATTAAAACGCGTCTGTAAGATAATTCCTCGGCAAAATTATCTCTCAAATATTCCTTTGAGTGATTATCTTCGCATCTGTTAAGGATAAAAGATAATCAAGTCATAATTAATTTTTAAATAAATAAATTCGGAATTTCTATAAAAAAAATATTCGGCCGGACGGCGTGCGCGTGTGTGTGTGTGGTAGTTCGTTAGGTCCTCCCTCTCCCACAAAAGTGGGTCACCCCAAGGGGCATGCCCCTAAGAGAGAGGTAGCTATCTTTATACACACTTCATAAGCGTAAAACAACCAATTTGGTAGTTTTTCTCATTGAGACTTATAGCTTTCAAAAGCTATTCATTTCCAACAATCCCCCACTTGAATAGTTTTGAAACTATCTCTGAGCATCAACAGTTCCATAAGATCGGGCGCAAACTAAGGTATCGCGAAGATTTGAACCTTAGCGTAGTGGTTACACTTCCGATTTCATAAGGGTGACTCGTAGTCTTGAACCCTATGTCAGACAGTGTAGTACACCGAATCTTTTCATTGAGTTGTATTATCTTCTTAGCCCGTGCGTTTATGGTCAATGCTCTATGATAAGATTCATAAACATACATGTATTTTGTGCATAAATGATTGATCTTTATATATGCATGTGTTTAAATTGCTCTAATTTAGTTCATATTGACCATGGAATGACCCTAGTGTCATTACCAAGACATGTAACGATTTACACAGTTTGAAGCTAAGATTTTGAACAAAACAAAGTGCAGTGGATGAATGCAAGTGCATTGTCAAAATGCAGACATGCAGTGGCAAACGCCCAGCAAGACGTCAAAGTGATGAAGACTCAAATCGAACCATTATGGATTGGAATCTTCACTCAACAGTCAGCAACCCTCACAAATCATTGGAATTGTATCAGCTTTCTTGAAGTGAGCAAATGGATGTGGTGGCTCACCAATAAATAAAAAGATGCAGAAAAATAAATGCAAGGAGAGAGACTTGAGCTGGCAGCAGCTTTCTCTTGGAAATGGGATCTGCAAGTGCCTTGTTTTGTGGGATTAAATCTGCAGAAAATGGATTTTAAAGGGCAGCAACTAGGAATCTTAGTAGACATTTTTGGAGACTAGTTTTAGAGAGAAAAATCAAAGGAGAGAGCTCACTTTGGCACACTTTGGAGTTGAGCATTTTGAAGAAAGGAAGACTCTTGTAAGTTGGGGTTTAACTTCAACACTTAGTACTTTCTCTACTCCTTTGTTTTGGTAATTAATTATGATGTTGAATATTAGCATGTTTATGTTCTTTCTTTTCACCATGAACTAATCCACCAATTTTGGGGGGAAACTTATGGATTTCATTATAGCCTCGATGTTTTAATCACGACTATTTTTTCCTCCATTTTCTATCGTGTGAAATTGTTTACCGCTTTGTGTTGATTGGCCACCTTCACAATGATTTGTAGTTTTCTAGGTTAATAACGATAGTGAAAACCTAGTAACCGAACACATTTCACACGACATAATTGCCTATTGAAGAGATAGTGGATTAAATAGGGAATTATGCAGTCATTTTAGGGATATCGTTTTTAAGGCTAATTAATTAATTCAGTTAACTACGATAGTAAAAATTTTCTTAATTAGTTAGTACGTGACAATTCTCGATAGAGATAGCTATCAATTTAGAGGTATCCCCACTGAAGAAGGTAAAATAGTAAAATCTTGTGTTTCCCCTGGAACTCTCCAATATCAATTTCTCCAAAATAGTTGCTTTATCGAGGTACTTAATTTATGCGATCTTTGCGAATCATCATTTGATT